AGAATAAAAAAACTAAAAGACTAGAAAAAGCCATTAGATGAGAGAATATTAACTACATAGCAGACAAAGAAATCACAAAGGAACGGGTTATTTTGAATATATTACAAAACTGGAAAAATAGTACAAGTGACACAAGTAAAGCCAATACCAACAATGAAAGTCATACTAATGAAAAATGTTTAAACTACAAATGGATGTAAACATAAAAAGCAGTTTACCTGTATTTGCAACCAAATGCGACTAAATCAAAGAACCATCAGTTAAGATATAATGACACTAAATATGGATAAAGATGTGGTGAGACTCTCCTACAGGCATAGGTAGGAATAAAAATTGGTGGAACTACTATAGAGGAAGTTTTGCACACATCATTAAAGGCCTCAAAAATACTAATACTCTTGAAACCAATAATTTGACTTCTAAACATCTTAAGGAAATAATCTGAACTACTGCACAAAAAATGTATTAACAGAAACTGGAAAGAATCTAAATGTCCAAAAAGGGACTAAGATAAGAAAGAAGAAAATTAGCTTTTATTTATAGAATTAAATATTAAATGGTACTATACAATATCGCTTACTTCATAAATATAAGGAAATAAGATCACATCAATAAAACATGTAATACACAAAATTATACAGAGTAGTCTTTGAACTCTGCATTTTTTTTAAGAGTGATGATCATAGCTTACTGTAGCCTCAAACCTCTGGGCTCAAGCAATCCTTTTGTCTCAGCCTTCTGAGTGACTACTACTTCAGGCACCTAGAATACCATACCTGACTAATTTATTTTTTAGTAGAGATAAGACTATGTCGCCCAGGTTGGTCTTGATCTCCTGGCCTCAAGTGATCCTCCCAAAGTGCTGGGATTACAGGCGTGGGTTACTGCACCCAGTCTTATATTCCCACTGCTTTTAGCTGCATGAGCTTACCTTCCTTAAGGCTTATCAAAAGGGGCTCCCTATTGCTTCTGAATATGTCCCATACATTCTCATTCCAGAGCTTCAGCTAAGACTATTTGATCCATCTGGATCACCTTCTCTACCTGGTTGAGTTCTACCATCTTCCAAAGTTCAAGAGCAACATCACCTTTCCTACGAAGTTTTTTCTAATTCTGTGCTAATCCAGTCACTCCAATCAGATGTTATTTCTTTTTGTCTTTGACTCTTACAGAAAATGTCTTAACAATATCATTCTTAATACAATTTGCCTTAATTTTAATAGTTATCTCAGTTTTAATGCCTCCACTAGATTGTAGATCAGGAAGGGGTTCTTTCTTCAGTCCTTTCTCTAATACTGATACACTGCTTCCCAGAATTAAACATATAATGAGTACTTGAGGAACTGAATAAACTATTGCTACAAGAGATTAGTCTCTTCTCTTGGGTATGAGAAAGAGGAAGAATGCGAAATGTTTCTCATTTGAGACTCAGCATGGAATTTCTCACAGAAACAATGAGAAAAAAAGTATCATAATGATGGACTTAGATTTTCTTTCTTTCTTTTTGGAGTTAAGAGTCTTACTCTGTTGCCCAGGCTGGAGTGTAGTGCACGCTCATGGCCGCCTCAGCCTCCACCTGCTGGGAACAGGTGATCCTTCTGCCTCAGTCTTCCAAGTAGCTGGAACCACAGGCATGCGCCACCATGCCCAGCTAATTTTTTTATTTATTGTAGAGATGAGGTCTCACCATGTTGCCCAGGTTGGTCTTGAACTCCTGGACTCAGGCAATCCTCTTGCCTTCACCTCCCAAAGTGTTGGGATTACAGGTGTGAACCATCGCACTCAGCAGATTTTATTCTTTTTACCAGATAAAAATCTATCCATATTGGTATCTTAATTTCCATGGACACAAAAATGTGCTTGGAATTACCAATAGCCTACTTTCAAAAGTGTTTCTGGAGTACAGTTAGTACTTAAATGATATACTTGCAGATAATATTTTCCTTTAGGAAAAACATCAGGTTTGCTTAAGTTTGCCTTAAGCCACTTCTGAAAGGAAATATTGTTATTGACGATAGAAAGGGTGAAAGAGAAAGAAAGAAAGTGGATACTCTAAATAGCTGAGTTAATTTCTAAGTGAAAATTCAAAAGGGAGAATGCAGGTAATTTTTAAAAAACCCTTTTGATCACTTTCCAACTCTACCTTTATCTGATGCTATATTTCAGGAAACAACTGAAACTTTAAAGTGAGAAAGTCTTTAAAGGTTTCTATTTTCCTTTTCCATGCAAGCCTTTAAAATTAGACTAATCCAGTGGCTCAGCCTGTAATCCCGCACTTTGGGAGGCTGAGGTGAGTGGATTGCCTGACCCCGCAGGTTTGAGACCCGCCTGGGCAACTTGGTGAGACCTCATCTCCACAATAAACCAAAAATTAGCCGGGCGTGGTAGCGCGTGCCTGTAGTTCCAGCTACTTGGAAGGCTGACGTGGAAGGATTGCCAGAGCCTAGCACGTCGAGGCTGCGGTGGCCAGGAGTGTGCCACTGTACTCCAGTCTGGGTGAGAAAGTGAGACTCCAATTCAAAAAAAAATCAGACTAATCTTCCTATGGATGTATTCAAATATTGCCATATTCATTCAGTGAGTATGTATCGCAAACTGTGCTAAGTATACAGAGGTGACACACACAAGGCCTGCCTTCATTATGTATAGGTTACTACAGAACCCATTACATTCTGCTAGAGGAGGTGAAAAATAAACAAATGAATAAGATAATTACAGATTATGGAAAGAGCTGCAAAGGAGAAAAAATAAACAAGACAGGGAGGCTATTCAATAATCAGTGAGGTCCTTTCAAATACATTTAAAACTTAAACAAAAAGGATCACGTCATGCAGACTACCTGGGAAAAATCTTTCTAGGCAGAGAGAAGTGGAAAAGTCCAAGATGGAAACAGACTCACTGTCTGAAGAACACAAACAAGGCAGTGTGGCGAGTCACGTTTTTCAAACTGTGGGTCACGTTTTGAATTGTGAAGTCAATTTTGTGAGTCATTGATTTTTTTTTAAAGGATGTCAAACCAAAAAAAATCAGAATCACATGTTTTCAGAGCAAGTATTCTTCAATGAACTTTTGCTTCAGTTATGTGAGTGTGCACTGGGTAGTAATGTATCATACATCTCTTACTTTAAGCAGTGGTCAAATGTGTACCAAGAAAGAGTAGCAACAGATGAGGATGGAGGTATGGCCACGAGCCAGATCATGCATGGCCTTGATATGGATTTTTATCATAACTTTATGATGCAGGCCACCATAAAGAACTGGGATTTTATTCAAATGGCAGTAGAAAGGTATTGAAGGGTTTCAAGTTGAGGTGTGACATGATCTAATTTGACATCATAGTGTTGCCAAAAGATTACTGTAATGAAATTCAGAAGACATAAGCCCTAGCCCTGGCTTAGACAATAACACCAGGGATTTTGAGCAAATCACTTAATCTCTCTAGACTTCACTTTCTTCATTTTAAAAATGAGAAAGTTGAACTAAGATGGCCTCTAAGATCTTGTCTATTGCTAAATTTCTGTCTATATTCTGCTTCCTCCCTTGGGCATAAAAATGACTATTGGAAAGTTACTTGCTCGTTTGGTGTCATTCCAAATTACTTCCTAAAATATTATAAATCATGTAGCTATAACTGTTACATTTCTATAGAAAGTAATTTTAGAATTATCCTTTTACTGGAAACAGCTATGCTATTAAAAACAAGATTTCCGGGCTAAGAGTAAATCGAGTGCTTTTGCAACTCTCTGGTGCAAAGTTTTGGGTATGAAGAAAATTGGCAAGGAGGTATGGAAAGATTTACTGACCAGTATTTGGAACAGATTTCCTTATTTGTTCTAGGTCATTAACTGATGTATGATCTAGAACAGTTTTAAGTTGCAGGGGGCCTGGTGTGGTGGCTCATGCCTGTAATCCCAGCACTTTGGGAGGCTGAGGCAGGAGGACTATTTGAGCCCAGGAGGTCAAGGCTGAGGTGAGCCATGATCATGCCACCATACTCCAGGCTGGGTGACAGAATGAGACCTCCCCCAATTCAAAAAATGAAATAGAGTTGCAGAGAACCTCTGCTGAGCACTAGTCAAAATGTGGAAGATTAACTCCTTTTACAGTCACCAAAATGATGATTGAGGCAAAATATTCATGGCAAGTCTACTATATGTTAAACCCATGCTAGACAGTTTGATATGTGGTTTTCATTTAATTCTCCTAACTTTATTATTTGAATTTCACAGATACGCAAAGAGGGGCTCAGGACTGACAAGTAAGCTATTTAGTGGCAGGGTCAGGACTAGAATCAATCTTAAGGTAGGCAACATACAAATCCTTACTTAAATCCATATTTACAACAAATTGTTCTGTATGTCTATAAAAATTACTGTACAAGTAATAATACATCAGTTAATCAGTTAAGTACCTGACAGTTCAAGTATCTGTGACATCTGGACATAGAATGTTCAACCAACAAATCAATTTATAGGTGGACTCATAGGTACCTTGCAAAATATATTTTGAGATGATTAAGAACTTGTTCTAGTTCCTGCTCTGTGGGTAGCATGCTGGGTTGTATGAAGTGGAGTCAGGAAAATATTCAAGGAATTTGGATCCCAATTAAGTACACGTCAATAGTATTATGGCAGTTTCCAGGTTTATTTTCTCAAGTGTTGCTGGTGAAAGGCCAACAGTGGAACCGTGGACTGTACAGTGTCACCTGTGTCGTGGGCCTAACAAGTGTTCTGCAAGTTCCATGAAACACGAGGAGATGCAAGAAACTCACAGATTTCCAACTTACGCTATCCATTTAAGGAAGCATCGCACCACCTGCCCACTTGAAGAAGTGCATACAGCTTTTTACGGAGAGAAAAACCTTTGAAACGTGCAGCGTATCGTTCCTGTGAAGGTGGAAAGGGTCCCTAACACCTCCCACAGAGACTCTCACAAACACCCCAGCAAAGTTGGGGATGTTCACTGCACACCTTCCTTAACCCCGAGTACGCGGTACCCACCTGCCACATACTCAGCTTCGAACCTCCGTCGGGTCTCAGAGATGAGCCTGGCTTTATTCTGAGCGTGATTCTGGATGGGAGACACGACAGGACCTTAGATACTACTCGCACCACCCCGTTTACCCTCAGCCCAGCCCACCTGCACCCGGACACACGGGCCCCAGACCCCAGAGGCGGCTTCCGGGCCCAGGGGGGCCAGTGGCAGTGCAGTAGGCTCCTCACCTCGGCCATGATCGCGGTCGTGGACGTGATTACAGTTATCGCCGTCTCCCCTTCCACCGTCGCGAACCGAGTATCTCATCACCCGCCAGTCCCGCCCAGAGGTAGGCAGAAGGGTGGGAAGAGGAGGCTGTCGCGTGACACCGGAAGGCGGACAGAAGTACCGTCGCACCACCCAATCCAATGCGGCCGCCTGTGTCTGGAGGCGGGACGAGGCCCTTAGCGTGGAGCCCATTCGCTTCTCGTTCTGGCCTCGCCCCTTGACGTCCCCCGCACTGCGGTCCCGCCCCCGCCAGCCGCGAGGTCGCCGGCGCTTCCCCCGCCGAGCTCCGCCATAGAGAGCTTGCCTGCTATTCGCTTTCACAACACTCCCCAGGGCCCCGCCTTCTCAGCCTCCCTTGGCAACCATCTCCCGGCTGGTTAAGTAGGCTCCGCCTCCTTTGCGTTCGACGTAGCCTCCGGACCGGCCTCCCAGGATGCAGCGCGCTGGCGGGATCTTTGGAGCCACTGGCATTGTAGCCACGTTGGGGCATCGCGGACATGGCAGCTGGTCAGAGGTAGGGGGATGTGGGCAAGTCTTCCCTCCCTGGGCCTTCGTAGAGTGGGTAACAGGGCTGAATTTGTACCCTTTGGCCTCCGCATTGCGGGAGAGCGAGAAGGAAGCGGGCGCCCCGGGGCCTGGGCCTGTCATTCTGTGGAATTATAATTGGATTTTAAGTGTTATATTCGGAGATTATTTCGTTTGAAACTTTCTTCATCCCTTCAACATCCTTCCCACCTGGAGTGTGAGATGATTAATAAGGAAAATATCTGAGATCCTTAAATTCAAATAATTATATATATAGTTAAACTAAGTGATATAAGGCGTCTTTCGGTTTATTAAGTAAGGTAGTTCTTAATGGAGGGCGCGGGAAGGGTGCGGTTTCGCCACTCGGTATCTTTGGCAAAGTCTGGAGCATTTTGGTTGTCACAGCTGGGGAAATGGGCATGCTACTGGCTTTCTAGTGTTTAAGGCCAGGGATACTGACAAACGTCCTCCAATGCACAGGACAGCTCACAACGGTTATCCAGTGCAAAATGGCAATAGTGCCAGGGTTGAGAAAGTTTGAGATTTATAAGGTACTTGAACAAATTTTATGTTTCTCAGTTTAAAAAAATAATAATTGGAAAGAAGATCTACTACAAAGTTGTAATAAGTGCCCGTATTTCCATCATACGCAGTCAGCCATGATAGCATGATAGCTTAGCATCTTTCATCCCAGACTTTTGAAGTATATGTTTACATTTTTATGTAAAAAATGAAGTATATTGCTTTAAAATTGTCTGGATACATCCTTAAAAAATATTTCAGATATAACTAAAGTCTTCCTCTGGCTCCACTCCTCCATCCTGATATCCACTTCCTTGTCCAGAGTCAACAGTCTTTCAGAATTTGGCATGAAATCTTTACAGTTTTTCCTTTCCTTTTCTTTTTTTAAAATTTTTGTTTCGGACCAGAATGCCTGGGTTTGAATCCTGGCTCTGTCACTTATCTATAAGACTTTGAGAAGATCTTGAAACTCTGTGCCTCGGTTCCCCCATCTGTAAAACAGGATAATAATAGTGCCTATGGCCTAAGGATATCATAAGAAATAAATAAGTTAGTTAATCTAAAGTGCTTAGAGCAATACCTGGCACTATTCCTTGAGAAAAACAAAACAACAACAACAAACAGTACCTGGCACTATTCCCTGAGGAAGTGCTCGGGGAATGTTAGCCATTGTAGGTAAATTGAAAATGCATAATGCTGTTTTATGTGTTTTAATTTACATAAATAGCATATTGCAGTATACATTTGTTTGCAACTTAATTTTTAATTCATTTTATTTTTGAAATCTAGCCATGATATAGTGATACTTATAGTAGCCATGATATCTATAGTTCATGTATAGTTCTTTTTTTATTTTTATTTTTTATTTTTTTGAGTTGGAACCTCACTCTGTCACCCAGACTGGAGTGCAGTGGCCGCTCCCAGCCACTGCAGCCTCGACCTGCTGGGCTCTGGCGATCCTTCCGCCTCAGCCTTCCAAGCAGCCGGAACTACAGGCACGCGCTACCATGCCCGGCTGATTTTTTAATTTATTGTAGAGATGAGTCTCACCAAGTTGCCCAGGTGGGTCTCGAA